TTCTTATGAAGGCCTCGGCCTCTGTGCCCTGTTGTTGGCCCTCCAGGGGAACTGGCTGGCCACTGTGTGAGACAGGATGCTGGACTGGATGGGCTATTGGTCTGGTCCAGCAGGGCTCTGCTTATGCTATTATGTTTAATGCATGTTTGTATTTTGAGTTTTAAAATATCATTAATTGGGTTTGCCTGTGTCCTTTATAAAGTTTATTATCTCTGGTTTCTGGCATGATGTTCTATGGCACACATGGCCTGGCCCGACAAAGGGACATTTGTGTCAGATCCGGCCCTGGTAACAAATGAGTTTGACACCTCTGCCCTAGACGATGACCAAAGGAATCACCGGGGGGGGGTGTAACGGGAGAGGCAGTCCCATAGGTATGAGGGTCCCAGACCGTTAAGGGCTTTAAAGGTTAACACCAACACCTTGAACTGGATCTGGAAACTAATTGGTAGCCAGTACAACTGCCGCAGAATCGGAGTAGTGTGAGCTGACCGTGGTGTTCCAGTCAGCCACTTGGCAGCTGCATTCTGGACCGCCTGCAGTTTCCGAAGTGTTTTCAAGGGTTGCCCTACATAGAGCGAATCGCAGTGGTCCAATCTGGAGGTGACCGCTGCATGGACCAGTGTGTTTCAGGAGCTATAATAGTTCCAGGAGCTGTAATCAAGTGAATTACATTTTATTTATTTTATTGTATTATATTTATTTATGTTATCATCCGCCTTTCTCACCTGGGCTCAAGGAGGATCACACAGAACGAGTCAATAAAGATCAATGGATGGGGCGTTCAGTAAACAATGGAATAAAATAATTCTGTCTATCGCCTATAAAACATTTTTATGCTGCCTTTCCACCCAGAGTTGTGCGCATTGAAATCTGTATCTCGTTCCAAAAATAAAATTAATGTTAATCCATTTGGCAAACACTCCAGTCATATCTCAGTCACATTCGTCAAATCCACTACCCACTTTGATGAAGGTATACATGAAACGAGATGTAATATAAATGGTTCGTTGGTGTTGGTGGCGTCTGAATTGCTTCCAGTAAACTGAATACTGAAAAAAGAATTTACAAGTTGCTGAAGAACCTTTTTGGGGGACACTATACATCACGGTTCTTTGCTTGATTTCAACCACCTGGAGACTGGCAGCCCTAGCTATTAGTAGAGTTATTCCTTCTCAAATGTGTAGGAAGCCTCCTTGAGAACCGTTCGAGCCAAATGTCAGATTTTAAAATAGATAGCATTTAAGGTATTTATCAGGGCTTTTTTTTGTAGAAAAAGCCCAGCAGGAACTCATTAGCATAATTGGCCACACCCAACAGCAGAAACATATTAGCATATTAGGCCACACCCCCGATGGCACAGGTCATTAGCATATGAGGCTACACCCCTGTGTTACCAGAAGTGTGCTCATCCAGCCACACCCACCTTTTGCTTCTTATTCTGCTTACCTTGTTGTCAAAACCCAGGGCCTTTTTTTGAAGCAGGAACTCCTTTGCATGTTAGGCCACACACCCATAATGTAGCCAATCCGAATGAGTTTCTGCTGTTGGGTGTGGCCTATTATGCTAATGAGTCCCTGCTGGGTGTGGCCAACTCAGGAGCCAGCCGGAACTCCGTTCCTGTGCGTTCCTGCCCAAAAATAGCCCTGGTATTTATTTATATCCCACATTTCCTCCTGAAAGCCCGGGGAGGTTTCAAGAGCATCATTAAAAACACCTGACATAAAACTTCACCAACCTGCATGATAAATGGGAAAAAAGATCATCGTTTTCATTTCTTTCTTTTTTTTAAATGTCCAGGCTCTCGACCCCTTGCCACGTGGTGTGGCAATGAATTCCATAACTTCATTATGTATTAAATATGAGCATATGGACCTGCCTTATACTGAATCAGACCGCCCGTTCGCGGGGAGGGCGGGGTAAAAATGCAAATAAATAAATAATAAAGGTCAGCCTGGTTTACTCAGACTGGCAGCGGCTCTCCAGGGTCTCGGGCTGAGGTTGTCCCCACTGCCTACTAAGAACATAAGAGAAGCCATGTTGGATCCGGCCATCGACTCACCCAGTCCAGCACTGTGTGTCACACAGTGGCCAAAACTCAGGTGCCATCAGGAGGTCCACTAGCAGGGCCATAACTACAGAAGCCCTCCCACTCTTGCCCCCCAAGCACCAAAAATGCAGAGCATCACTGCCCCAGGCATAGCGTTCCATCAGTGACTCGTGGCTAATAGCCACTGATGGACCTCTGCTCCATATGCTTCTCCAGTCCCCTCTTGAAACTCTCTATGCTTGTAGCTGCTGCCACTTCCCGCAGCAGTGAATTCCACGTGTTAATGACTCTTTGGGTGAAGAGATCAGTTCCCCTGGAGGAAGTGGCTGTTTCGAAGGGTGGAGTCTATGTGTAGGAAGCCTCCTTGAGAACCGTTCGAGCCAAATGTCAGATTTTAAAATAGATAGCATTTAAGGTATTTATTTATATCCCACATTTCCTCCTGAAAGCCCGGGGAGGTTTCAAGAGCATCATTAAAAACACCTGACATAAAACTTCACCAACCTGCATGATAAATGGGAAAAAAGATCATCGTTTTCATTTCTTTCTTTTTTTTAAATGTCCAGGCTCTCGACCCCTTGCCACGTGGTGTGGCAATGAATTCCATAACTTCATTATGTATTAAATATGAGCATATGGACCTGCCTTATACTGAATCAGACCGCCCGTTCGCGGGGAGGGCGGGGTAAAAATGCAAATAAATAAATAATAAAGGTCAGCCTGGTTTACTCAGACTGGCAGCGGCTCTCCAGGGTCTCGGGCTGAGGTTGTCCCCACTGCCTACTAAGAACATAAGAGAAGCCATGTTGGATCCGGCCATCGACTCACCCAGTCCAGCACTGTGTGTCACACAGTGGCCAAAACTCAGGTGCCATCAGGAGGTCCACTAGCAGGGCCATAACTACAGAAGCCCTCCCACTCTTGCCCCCCAAGCACCAAAAATGCAGAGCATCACTGCCCCAGGCATAGCGTTCCATCAGTGACTCGTGGCTAATAGCCACTGATGGACCTCTGCTCCATATGCTTCTCCAGTCCCCTCTTGAAACTCTCTATGCTTGTAGCTGCTGCCACTTCCCGCAGCAGTGAATTCCACGTGTTAATGACTCTTTGGGTGAAGAGATCAGTTCCCCTGGAGGAAGTGGCTGTTTCGAAGGGTGGAGTCTATGGCATTATACCCTGCGGAGGTTCCTCCCCTTCCTCAGGCACCATCCCCCAAAACCTTTCTCAACCCAGACCTGGCAAACCCTATGGCTGAGTGACCTTGGGCCAGTCATTCTCTCCCGACCTAACCTACCACACAGGGTTGTTGTGACAATAAAAATGGAGGACGGGGATAGCCGTGCACGCTGTTCCGAACTCCAAAGGGGGAAGGCTCTGATGCTGACCCTGGGAAAAAGTCTGTGTGAGAGGCTGCATGCTACGCTCTAGAGTCTTCTCCGTCAGGGCAGAAATAGCTCTGGCTGCTTCTATGGGGGAGATCCCATGAGGGACACAGACGTGTTTATAGAATGTTTTTCCCCCCCAGCAGATAAATTACTTCCCCGAAATTAAATTTAAAAATGAACAGGGTGGGGTTTGTTCTGACGGTTATCAGAAAGGAAACTCGGCTAGCAGAAAATAGCTGTGGTTAAGACGCTGAACTGCAGGCTGTGGAAGGTCGGCAGTTCAGCGAGTTCGAGACCCGAGTGTGCCGCATGACGGAGTGAGCTCCCGTCTCTAGTTCCAGCTCCTGCCAACCTAGCAGTTCGAAAGCAAGAAATTGCAAGTAGATAAATAGGGACCACTTCGGTGAGAAGGTAACAGCGTTCCGTGCGCCTTGGTGTTTAGTCATGCCAGCCACATGACCACGGAAACGTCTTCGGACAGCGCTGGCTCTTCGGCTTTGAAACGGAGATGAGCACCGCAACCCTAGAGTCGGACTCGACTGGCTTACGAGCAAGGGAACCTTTACCTTTTACCTTTACAACAGATGAAGTCATTGCTTGGCCGTCAAGTGCTACTGGGAGGAGGGTTCCCCCCCCCCCAATGGGAAACTACTCAAATGGAACTATAGATTCAGGTGGGTAGCTGTGTTGATCTGAAGCAACAGGACAAAGTTTGGGTCCAGCAGCACCTTTAAGACCAAAAAAGTTTCATTCATGTGCAGGCACACTTCGTCAGATACATTTCAGTATACAATATGATCTACATACTGGTCGATTGTAGTTTATGTTTTATTTTTGTGATTGTAAATCGAAAAAAAAAAAGATACATATTTTTTTTTTTAAAAGACCACACACATGTTTTCCTGAAGAAGCGTATGTGCCCACGAAAGCTTATACCCTGAATAAAACTTTGCTTTTTTAAAAAAATATTTTTAATTTCAATTTACAATCACAAAAATAAAACATACACAGTTGACCAACATGTAGATCATACATAAAATATAAACTACAGTCATCTATGCTATACAATTATCAAACAGATAAATACTTATTTAGAACTTACTTTTATAGACTCTTGATTTTTCACTTCGATTTAAATATCTTTTCCAACTATCTTTATATCTATTAATTTGTTATTACAAAGGTATGTTTTTAAAACTTTGTTGGCCTTAAAGGGGCCACTGGACTCAGACTTTGTTCTATTGCTTTAGACCAACATGGCTACACACCTGAGTGTAGCATATAGTTAGGCGCTCTGTGTACAGTGCCAGAAAGGTACTCGGCTGAACAATCACATCCACTAAATACAAGAGGACCACGGAGATACGGCAAAAGGAGTGCTGTAAGGAGTGCTGTAAGGAGTGCCGTAAGGAGTGCTGTAAGGAGTGTATCGAGCTCTTGAGGGATAAGGCATGCAAAATATGTAAACTGTGTGGTTCCATAAGAGTGGTTCCAAGAGATGTCAGCCTGGTTTCTCAGCCTCCCTGCAGACCTGAAAGTTTGAAACTAAGAAACTAAGAAACAGCAAATAAGATTACAGTGTTTTCAAGGACTGTATACAGCCCATTTACTGGTCTTGCTTTAGGAAGGTTTCTTTATACTTGTGTATTTGTTACTAAAAGATTTACAGTTTAATCTTCATGCACGATTTTCTCATTTATTATGTTTGAGACATATGCCTTTAAGTAACACTTTAGTGGTATTCGACCTTGAGCAATCATTTCTCTCCATGGTGCATTTTGTTTTTGTTATTGAACAATCACATCCAGGGGTCATTTTGTAGAAAAAGAGGTGCAGGAGCTCATTAGCATAACTTATTTGCATATGCCACACCCCCTGACATCACCGGAAGTGTGTCAGAAGGCAACACCCACCGCTCAGGCTCCACTGGACTGTTTTGGATAGCTAGCTATTTGGGGGGGACATGCAGATCTGTCCTCACAGAGGAGGGAGAGCTTGTACCTGAATAAAACTTGGTCTTAAAGGTGCCACTGGACTGTTTTGGACTGGGGGGGCCAGGGGGAGCTCTGCAGCTTACCTGGCTGCTTCTTGTTCTGACTGAGGGCTGCTGGGAGCAGGGGGTGGGGCTAGTTGCATGTGCCCGCCCCCTGGGCTCTTTACTGCCGGAGCTCCGCTCCTGTGCCCTCCTGCAAGAAATGACCCCTGATCACATCCAGCCTGAAATAGAAGTGTGGGGGGGAGCGGCTTACTGCCTTCCCTAAATGGCACCCCAGATGGGAACGTGACTAGCCCTAACCTTGTTCAACTGGAGACTTGTATCGTTCAAAGTTCTACCAACTCCACTTTCTTCTCTTCCCTCTCAAGGCCAGCCAGTGGTGCGAAGCTGGAATCTACCTCTTGGCTTCCCAAGCTGTCGACAAATGCCAGACTCAAGAGGGGGCCGAAACGGCGCTCTGCGACATCGAGAGATTCCTGGAGACCGCCAAGGACCACCAGCTCGTGAACGCCAAGGAGTTCTACAATCAGTTCGATATGATTCTCACCCCAGAGATAAAGGTAGGCATGTGCAGAATATTGCATGCCTAGAGACACGTTGCCTCTCTCCAGTGCACCCTCCTACAGAGACTCCTGACCCAAGCGTCCGAGAGTTCAGCCCTCCTAGAAACTCATAGAAACAGTCAGACAAAGACAGTCAAGAAGAGGCAAGAAGCCCGTGAGTGTAGGGACATGGTTCATGCAGACCATAGAGTATTACATTATCTTTACTTCCTCCATAGGTCTGGCAATGAGGACTTCTGATCAGACATGGCTTACAAGCAGTGTTCCCTCTAAGCTGAGTTAGTGTGAGCTAGCTCACACTTTTTTAGCCTCCGGCTCACACATTTTTGTCTTAGCTCAGGAAGGATGGCTCCAGAGTGAAAAGTACTGGGTTCGACGCATGGAGAACTCGGACCACGACATGCGTTCAGACGCATTTATTGTACTTTACAACAAGACACACAAAATGGCCCTACAAGGCCAACTATATACACTCCACCCAGCACACCTCTGTCCCCATTGGAGGGTTTGAATCTCCCACCAAGGGTGCTATTGGTGGACTCCCAGTGGACTAGGATCCTAGGTCCCCTTTGTGTTTGGGGACCAAGCTCCTCCTTTAACCCCGGACCCCTGGTGGTGGTCCGTGTACATAACAAGAGCAAACTAATTTATGCAGTAGCCAAATTGCTCACTCACAACTTTAATGTCAGTCGCTCACAAAGTAGAATTTTTGCTCACAAGACTCCACAGCTTGGAGGGAGCATTGCTTGCGAGTACCATATTCCAAGTCAGTTCCCAATTGCACAGGAGCCTGATTTGGATTGTGGCTGTAGCACACGACAAGGATTCGGCATGAGGTTGCCAACCTCAACGTGGCACCTGGAGATCTCCAGCTTTTACAATTCATCTCCAGAAGTCCAAAATCAGTCCCCCTGGAGAAAAGGGCTGCCTTGGAGGGTGGATTCAATGGCATTATACCCTGCTGAGGTCCCTCCCCTCCCCAAACCCCACCCTCCCCAGGCTCCACCCCCAAAATCTCCAGGAATTTCCTAATTTGGAGCTGGCAACCCTAATTCAACCCCACCTTTGCACCATTTTTAGGACCTGTGGTGAGTCCCTATTTTCCCAGGTAAACCTAAGTGTAAGCCAGCAGTACATGTAAGTTTCCCCAACTGGGCTAACTACTGCTCCCCTGGGACATTTCAGGTTGGGGAAATGTCACAGGGAGAAAAGGCCAAGGCGCCTTCTTGTCCCAGGCTGTGGCCTCAATCCGAATCGGGTCCCCACGCACCTGGGAACTTAGTTCCAAACATCGAAGTTGTAAGGTACATCTGATCAGAAGCCCTCGCTGGGGACCCAGAGAGGACACAAGGATGTATAGCTAGAAACGTGTAGCTAGAGCCGTTTTCTCAGAGCTCTCTCAGCCCCACCCACCTCACAGGCAGTGTTCCCTCTAAGCTTAGTTAGTGTGAGCTGGCTCACGTTTTTTTAGCCTCCGGCTCACAGATTTTTGTTTTAGCTCAGGAAGGGCGGTTCCAGAGCAAACTAATTGATGCAGTAGCCAAATCGCTTGCTCACAACTTTAATGCCGGTAGCTCACAAAGTGGAATTTTTGCTCACAAGACTCAACAGCTTAGAGGGAACATTGCTCACAGGGTGTCTGTTGTGGGGAGGGGAGGGGAAAGGAGATTGTAAGCTGCTCTGAAACTCCGAGTGTAGGGCGGGGTATAAATCCAATCTTTTCTTCCTCTTCCTCTTCTTCTTCTTTTGAGTCATCACTCGGCAGATAGTTTGCCTCGGCTCTTAGATTCTGGTTATGCTACCCTTGCAGTGATTTCAGCCTCAGTATGCAATCCGTGCTATAGTGATTATGCCCCTTATTGATTAATAATTGACCATTACTGACGGCTAATCGCATTAGCGGATATAAATACCTTCACGGTCGTCCACATAGCCCAGAGTTCCTACCTTATCCCCCTTCCTGTTGATAAAAGGCATTTGGGTAATGATTGGCTTGAAACTATAAGATTACCAGTGGATCGGTACACTGTGATGTGCCCATTCAAGGTCAAAACCGTGCCACACCCCACCCCTCATCAGATAACTTCCTTTAGCCTTTCTGCATCAAATATCCCCCCCCCATGCCCAGCAGCTGACACTGGATCTAAACTAATATTTGCCGTACAGATGAGGCTTAAGGGTCCTGATCCTGAACACATCCACTCTGCTTAGCTAAGGGCAGCAGGTTCTGTTGGAGGAGGGCACCTCCCAAAATTGCAAAGAGCCAGCATGGTGTAGTGGTGGAATTCCCCACCTCCAGGTGGTGGCTGGCGATCTCCTGGGATTACAACTAATCTCCAGGCTGCAGCGATCAGAGAAAATAGCTACTTTGGAAGATGGGCTCTTTAGGATTGTATCCCGCTGAGGTCCCACCCCTCCCCAAACTAGGCTCCGCCCCAAAACCCCCAGGAATTTTTCAACCCAGAGCTGACAAACCCTACAGAAGAAGAAGAGAGAAGAGATTGGATTTATACCCCGCCCTTCACTACCCGAAGGGAAGGAAGAGAGCCAGTTTGGTGTAGTGGTTAAGTGCACAGACTCTAATCTGGGAGAACCGGGTTTGATTCCCCACTCCTCCACTTGCACCTGGCTGGATGACCTTGGGCAATCCATCGTTCTCTCAGAGCTGTTCTCTCAAGGGCAGTTCTCTCAGAGCTCTCTCAGCCCCACCTACCTCACAGAGTGTCTGTTGTGGGGAGGGGAAGGGAGAGGAGATTGTAGGCCGCTCTAAGACTCAGAGTGAAGGGTGGGGTATAAATCCAATCTCTCCTTCTTCTTCTTCTTTAAATGGGGGGCAGGAAGGGAAGGAGAAGGGTGGCCAGGTGGGTTGGCACTCTTGGGGGCGGGGTTTCCCCACTGGCCAGTTGTCCAGGGGTGGATTGAAGCTCCCAGAAGCGGGGGGGGATAACCCTGGCTGGACCTGGGGGCTGGCAACCCTGTTTCAAGAAAGAGCCACTGGAATTCCATGGCTGCCAACTTCCAGGCGGTGGCTGGAGATCTGCAAAGATTAATCTCCAGGCTGCAGCAATCAGTGCTCCTGGAGAAAATGGCTACTTTGGAAAATGGGCTCTTTAGGATTGTATCACGCTGAGGTCCCGCCCCTCCCCAAACTAGGCTCCGCCCCAAAATCCCCAGGAATTTTTCAACCCAGAGCTGACAAACCCTACAGAAGAAGAAGAGAGAAGAGATTGGATTTATACCCCGCCCTTCACTACCTGAAGGGAAGGAAGAGAGCCAGTTTGGTGTAGTGGTTAAGTGTGTGGACTCTAATCTGAGAGAACCAGGTTTGATTCCCCACTCATCCACTTGCACCTGCTGGATGACCTTAGGCAAGCCATAGTTCTGGCACAGCTGTTTTTGAAAAAGAGCAGTTTCTGTCAGAGTTCTCTCAGCCCCACCTACCTCACAAGGTGTCTGTTGTGGGGAGAGGAGGGGAAAGGAGTTTGTAAACCGCTCTGAGACACCTTTGGGTAGTGAAGGGCGGGGTATAAATCCAATCTCCTCCTCCTCCTCTTCTTCTTCTTACAACCTCCTTTCCCTTCCCCTCCCCACAACAGACACCCTGTGAGGTAGGTGGGGCTGAGAGAGCTCTCTCGAGAACTACTCTTTCCAGAACAGCTCTGAGAGAACTTGTGACTGACCCAAGGTCACACCAGCAGCTGCATGTGGAGGTGTGGGGAATCAAACCCGGTCCTCCCAGATTAGAGTCCGTGCTCCTAACCACTACACCAAACTGGCTCTCAGTGGTAGAGTGTTGGACTAGGATCCGGGAGACCCAGGTTCGAATCCCCACTCTTCTGTGGAAATGAGTTGGGTGACCTTGAGCCAGTCCACGCAGCCTCATCCTATCCTACCTGATAGGGTTGTTGTGAAGATAAAAAAGAGGAGAAAGGTGTGAGCTGCTTTGGGGGACCACTTGGGTGAAAGGCGGGGGTTTATAAGCGAACTAAAATAGGAGGCTTCTCTTCCAGAAGGCAGGTGGAACGCTCTGCCCTCAACTTCCTGAAGTGGTAGGGTTCAGCTCTCTGCAGATCCTAAAGATTTCAGTCAAAGGTAACCGTGCAGGTATGCTCTACCTGGAAACAGCTATTAACACATCTCGACGAAAGCCTTCTGTCCTCAGCTTCCTTAGCCCACCGCCGCCGCTGCTTAAACTCTGCACTCCCGTTTCTTCTTGCAGAGCAATGCCCAAAGAGTTCTCCAAAAGCTAGAAGACGTACAAGAGATGTTCGACAAGAGGCAAGTGAGCCTGAAGAAGCTGGCAGCCAAGCAGACCCGGCCCGTGCAGCCTGTCGCCCCACACCCTGAATCCTCACCCAAGCGCGCATCGCCCAAGAGCACCCGACCTGCAACGTTAGGTAGGCTGCAGGGAGATATTACCCCCAGGGACCTTTGCCCCTTACTTCTGAATCCGTGGGTTGAGAAAGGGGTCTGCCCTTGGGGAAGCCTATCTGTTGTTGTTGTTGTTGTTTTTCATGAGCATTTGTGTGTGTGTGCCTGGAAGTCATGGTCAGTACCAATGTTCCCTCTAAGCTGTGGAGTCTTGTAAGCAAAAATTCTACTATGTGAGCTACTGGCATGAAAGTTGTGAGCAAGCGATTTGGCTACTGCATAAGTTAGTTTGCTCTGGAGCCCTCCTTCCTGAGCTAAGACAAAAATGTGTGAGCTGGAGGCTAAAAAACTGTGAGCTAGCTCACACTAAGTCAGCTTAGAGGGAACACTGGTCAGTACCCCCTCTAAGGTGTGGAGTCTTGTGAGCAAAAATTCTACTTTGTGAGCTCCTGGCATTAAAGTTCCGAGCGAGTGATTCGGCTACGGCATAAATTGGTTTTCTCTGGAGCCCTCCTTCCCGAGCAAAGACAAAAATGTGTGAGCCGGAGGCTAAAAAACTGTGAGCTAGCTCACACTAACTCAGCTCAGAGGGAACACTGGTCATGGTTGACTTCTGGCAATGCCTAGTGGGGACTGGACATTTCACAGAGGTGGCTTGCTGTTGCTTCCGTCTGCATCCCGGCCTTGGTATTCCTTGGAGGTCTCCCATCCAAATACTTGCCAGGGTCAGCCCTGCTTAGCTTCTGAGATCTGACAAGATCGAGCTTGCCTGGAATATCCAGGTCAGGGCAGGAAGCCTGTCTGGACTCCCCTCCCCTTTTCCTTCATCCCCTCCAGCACTGGTTGCCTGACGAGAGCCAGCAGAGGTGCGGTTGGGCCCGTGGCTCAGTGGGAGACCCTCTGCTTTGCATGTAGAAGGTCCCAGGTTCAGTCCTTGGCATCTCCAGTTAAAGGCTTGGGTAGGAGGTGATGCGGAAGACCTCTGCCTGAGACCCTGGAGAGCCACTTCCAGTCTGAATAGACAGTACCAGGGGTCATTTCCTGCAGGAGTGCACAGGAGCGGAGCTCCGGCAGTAAAGAGCCCTGGGGGCGGGCACATGCAACAAGCCCGCCCCCTGCAGCCCTCAGTCAGAGCAAGAAGCAGCCAGGTAAGTTGCAGAG